CTAACAATACCAATACTAATATACTACTACTACTANAACTAACTACACTACACACACACACAACACACACTACACACACACACACACACACACACACACACACACACACACACACATATATATATATATATATAGTTCACTTGTACATGTGTGTGCGTGTACTTGTACACATTGAAAGATTCCAATTGTGTGCAAATGCCAACGAGCACCATAGTGCAATAGCCAGGAAATTTATGTCCATGATTTCAAAAACAAACCCTGTATATGTGCTTTTTTCGTGTGAAGTATACAGCTACAATAATACAAGATACCATGAAACATATATGTTCTCTAAAAATGGTATACAATATTGCTCGCGTAGGTCTGTGACCAATCGGTTAGACTTGCATGAGAGTTTTGAAGATATATTTGCCTGTCTTCCCGTACATATGTATGTTTTTTAATACATGAGAGTATTCGTGTTGGTACTTGGTAGAGTTAAGAGAGGTCAAACGCCAGGCGCCAGAGGCCAGAGGCCAGGCGCCAGCGGCTAAACCCCGAGCTTCTGAAGGCAGGCCCCAGACCATCAGAGGGTGCAAAAATTATTCCATACATAGCCCGGTAATATCGCAAAACGGCCTCAGCCCTCAGGGCTCAGGCCTTTAAAAATATGTATTATTTACACGCAGCACCGGGCGTCAGTGTAGGAGGACGAGAGGGTTAGCAGTAAACAGTATTTTTAAAGTCCCAGACTCCAGGTCCCAGGACCGATTTAACTCTGGAATTTAGATCCTATTGTTTTTAATTTTATGACAGGGGCTCAATAATGAAAAACCGGTAAATATTTATAATTTACCAACCTTATTATAGTTATTTCAATATTTGACTCTTTATTTTATATTTAGTTTGTATTATTTTTTTTATAGATTTTAGAGAGCTATGCATATTTCAGTATTTCTACATAGTAAATATATTTTTAATATACTTGACCAGTAATACTACAAGATTTGAGAATTCACAACGGTAGCCGGCCGGCGGCCCGGCAGCGTGTCATGAGTATTCCATAGATTTTGAATTGTACACAGGAGGAAACTACATATGACTACATATTCACATTATGCCGGGCTAAGCAGCCTAAGCCCTGGCCCCATGTCATGGTATATTGAATAGACATTATGAGCCAACGAAGTTATGAAGGCCCTTGGCCTTCGGTGCTTCTTGTGAATCCCATAAAACCTAAAAAGGGGATGTTGCCGGGCCCGGACGCGCGGTGAGGACACTATGCACCGTACGGAGTGCACAGTGCACAACTCCACGCTGCACAGTGCACAGTGCACAGTGCACAGTCACAGTGCAGTGAGTGCACACTGCACATTGGGCCGACTTTTTGGGGGGGGGGGGGATCAGAAGTTTGAAATTATGTTTTGTGTGCTGTTCAATGCCAGAGCCTCCTAAAATACTGTTAAATTTTTTAAGAGGCTACAATGTCAAACAATGTCTTCTTAAAAATAATAAATGTGAACGAAGGCTATGTGCTGATTCTAGCCTTGTACTATATTAAAGAAAAGGTCATTGAAAGAAGAAAGCCGCACAAGCACGAACATGGTGGATATACGCCCACCCGCACCAATGCAACATCCAGTGATGTTGGTCCCTAAAGGACCGGCTAATGCTTCACCCATTGGTCTCATGGCCTTCGGTATGACTACTATGATGCTGAACTTCTACAATGCTGGTATCACAGAATCAGGTATTATTGGACTCATCGCGTGTTTCGGTATCTTTCATGGTGGACGCGCTCAGCTTCTGGCTGGTATGTGGGAGGTATGTAAGTCTTTCAAGGCGCTGGGCGTTTATAATGCCCGTTGTATTCTATTGTACGTTATTGCTCGTAGTAGGACAGGAGCTTCCTAAATTCTCAAGTTTCATCTCCTTCAACATAGACGGGGCTGTGCTCTTTTGCTTCGCTTTTGCGTTGAACACGAATCTCGTTCGGTGATATAGAAACCGTTTATCATGAAATGCAATTTTCTCCTTCTTTCGAATCCTTACAATTCTTCTCGTTTGCACTCCAGATTTTTCTCCGGCAAGATCGTCACCGGGACCGCTTTCACTACATACGGCTCATTCTGGATGGGACTCGGTCTGTTTTACGGGCTCATAGCAAGAGGCAATTTACTGACAGGAGACATCAATGAAGGTTTGCGTATCTGGCTATGCATCTGGGGTTGCCAAGCCTTTTTGATGTTCTTGGCTGCATTACCAGCCAATAGAGGTGTACAGTTTTCAATCGGTCGGCGACTATTTTTATCTTCGGGTTGGCGGGTGGCGTGTACAACGAAACAGTGAACAAGGTTGCCGGTGCGATAGGTATCGTCTGCGGAGACTCAGCCTTATTTCTTGACTGGGCTGAGCTGATGAATGATATATACCAACGCGAGATAATCCCCGTTTTCTAGGTTGAATAGGGGTAAGGATTAAATAAGTAACAATTCAGAAGTATCTCAATTCTCATACAAAGACAGACTGTGGCTGACGGCGACCGTGGGCGTGTATGCCCAATGAGCGAGAGTCCAATTAATACCGATATAATATTATTTTTTTAAAGCAATCGGGAATAAAAAATTCAATAAATACCAATAACGTACTTGTGACATGCCTATCTTGTGACTTCATTCCTAATAACTTCCGGGTGTTAGTCCGTGTGGCAATATTTTTTCCTCTCTCTACTAGTACTAGTGGGCCATGACTTTATTGTACTTTTCAGTGTTGGGATGACAATGGGATCAGCCTACTGGTTTCTTGGCTAAATACTCACTGATATTCCGATTAAAGAATATGGGTTTATTATCACAATGCACGGGATCATGTACTATGCTCTATTAGAGCGAGAGAGAGAGAGATAGACATTAGACAGAGGGCACATACTGCATGGGCGCCTACTAGAGAGAGTAGACAGTAGAGGTGTACAGAGGCCCCTTGATCCTCTGCCGGCCTCTGGCCGTCAAGCCGCCTTCCGTTAAAAGTTTTAAACGGTTTCAAATTTATGTCCTCTACTACATACTACTCTCTACTCTAAGAGGGTGTAATAAATAAATAGAGGATATAATATTGTAGTTGTGCACATACTAGAGATTAGAGGTCATGACTCATGAGACTTGAGAGTGAGACTCATGACTTCGTTGGGGGTTTGAAGGCTTTAAGAGCCAAAGTGGCCATGCCCGACTCAGAACTTAGAAGTCAGGAATCTGGAATCAGGAATCAGGAATCAGTAACATATGTACATAACACATAGGTCATACATAGGCTTGGTCTTTGGACTCTCTAGTCTCTACATAGTGTATAAATACTGCATATATATTATATACTGCATAGCCTTTGTTCAATTTTTAAGACTATGGTCTGTACTAAAATAGAATCAATTATATGATATATACATATTTTAAATATGTACTATTGAATCCTGAGATATTTATTACTGGATACACAGGCCTACTGCCTACATAATCATATGGGCCTTTTTCTATAGCCCTCTTTTTAAAAAAACCCCCCAAAATACAACAAAGATGACTGACGGGCTTGGGCCTTGGCACTTCTGAGAATCTCAAAATGACATACTGTCCCAGTCCCATACAAAATCTGAAAATCTGCATCGACAGGAAGCGTCAAGATTTCAATTTTCAATTTTGACTTTTGGACAGTGTGTACTCAGTGCTGTGTGACAATATTTATGCGAACTTGCGAAGGCCCGAGGCCCGAAAGCTTTAGAATCTAGAAAAAAGTTTTTTTGTATGAATATGTTGCTGAGCATTCAGTAGTCAGTAGTAAGTAAATACTCAGATCTCAGAGTGACTCAGACTCCGAGGCCCAGACGCTGTCATGTAGTCACTCTTTCTAGAGTTGAGTACTGACGACTGTGGCTTTGATGATTACGCACTAGTCTAGTCACTACACGGTGCCAGAGATGACTTTTTACTTTTTTTGTCACTCTAGTAGTCTAGTAGTCTAGTTGAGTACTGACTAATGTCCTAGAGTATTGTGACTACTGAACACTGACTAAGTATTTAGTCTACTCATTACACAGTTGACAGTTCCAGAGGTGACTTGTAAGTTGTGAGTTATGGCCGGCTGTGCCCTGTGTCCTGTCACCTGTGGCCCTGTGCGTTGTGGGCCTGAGGGCTGTGGCTGTGGGTGATAATTTAGTATATACTACGGAGTAGTCTCAACTCCTCTCCTGGGAGTCAAGGGCTCCAGGCTGTCACTGATTTCAGTGATTTGTAGGTTTAGTTCTGATATTTGTTGTAATCATATTTGAAACGGAGCAAATAGGTTTTTATTGACAGCCTCTGAGAATCTGAGAGATAACACGGCTCTTAAAATGTGAAGTACATAATGATTAATGAACTATTGATTGATATTGATTAGAACTGTCATGTATGATTGTTACGGTTTCGATATGCAACCCATGTAACGACAACAACAACGAGTAATATCGCTGGCATCTGAATTCAACTTTTGTCGGTCGGGCGTGTCGCATATATATGTTGCGCCTCTCATATCGGTATCCATATGTCCTATAACATATTACATGCATTTTACGTAAAAACCACGGATACCATACATTATGAATGTGCTTCCTAAGCGGGTTATATTCGACGAACACATCGAGGTTAGGGATGCCGTATGCTCGTCATTGTACGACCGTTCAGCAGCGAGTCCACTCACCGACTACATGCAGCTGATAGTTGCTGCTAAGGAGGTCCAAAGTTTTAAAAGAAGGGACATGCATGTGCATAAAAGATGCGCCTGTGTAATTGGCCGGCTAAGAACACCTCTGCGACCCACAAAGCGAGATATTGGATCCCGAAACGTAAACTTCTTCAGTGTGACTTCGTTCAGTGTGTGTTCCGACAGGTGTGAATCAAGTGGGGAGTCAGACGAAGACAGCTGAGAGCCCGAGACGGCTATCATAGACACATGCTGTGCATGACAATAAACATTTAGCAGAAACAGAAGAAATCGGAACGCAGAAAATTGTGCAGAAATACGGGAGTGGACCGGAATGAGGTATGCGTTTGTAAAGTTGCTAGGCGCCTAGTTACGGTCGTGTATAACTCAGGTTATTAGCTATAAATTTTCATACCAGAACACCCGAGTCCCTCAATACGCATGTCAAAGAAGATATGAGGTTGCACCAGATTGCAATATATTTCTTATTATTATATAGTCAACAAAGGTGTCTACAGGAAGGCAACTTCAGCCAACTTAATTTGATAGGTGGACGACGATTTTAAATTTTAGAACCTACCAATAAAAACCAGCTAAACGACAAGATGAAATATCTGCAGGTTAGGGAGGTTATGATTTCCAAAGTCAAACCACTTTCTCCGGCAGGCACTCTTCTAATGGAACGACATAATATCCACGTATGGTACCGCTGTACGGCTTACAGAGGCACACATGTAGTCTATTTTAAAACCAAATCTCTGATATGCATAGTGATAGCTGGCAGAAATATGAATAGCTTGTTTTGTTGCACATATACTGTATGAATTTCAGTATCGCTTCTTAAAGTGTTCATAGACGGAATTCTTCGTATCACTTCTTTAAACCGTGCGGAAAAAAAAAGAGAGCTAAATTTGCCCTCAAGTCAATACAGTCAATATCTTGTGTTCCATTGGCCTCTGTCAATATAGGAATATCCTCTATTGCTATTTTAAAGGCGCATAAGCAGATATATACGATTCGTAAATTTGAGTTTACGGATGCGTTAATGTCGCTCAACGAATAAACCGTCCCTAGAAACAAATACACGAATAAGTATGTAGATTCGAGTTCAAATGCTAGGAAAAGAAAATGTCACCTTTCATCATAGAAGGCGTATCTATAATAAAAAAAAGACTATACATGTGGTACTTGCTTGGAGTTTGTCTCTGGCAGGTATTCCCTATTTCACAGTGTGCTGAGTGCACCCATATTTTTACAACAAATGCAGAGAGGGCTTTCTTCTCTCTAGCTATTAGCTAGAGATAGATCTAGTATAGAGGAGAGACTTAGAGTCTGAGTCTCATTTTGAGACCCATAAACTATTTTCGCAACTCTTGAACTCCAACACGTTTCTTGGTGACAAAATCATAGCCTTCTGAAAATTAGACACAAAATGTGTCTAAAAATGTGTATTTTATTTAACAAAATAAACCAGGTTTATTATTTTTACGGTCGCAACTCCAACACGTTTCTTGTGACAAAAATGTGCATCTCTTTTTACAAAATAAACCAGGTTCAATTTTTGTATTAACATATTTCTTTCTTTTGTGCATACATTTTTTTAACACATAAAAATCAATAGTAAAATATTTATCAATGCTTTTGCAGATGCTTTTGTTTTGATTTGGTTTTGTTTCTGTTTTATTTTTGTCAGCACTTGACAATTCTATTAGAGATTCTAAATAATTAAAAACATATAGGATTTTAGGATTTAAAAAATATATCTATAGCTGCTGTACCAAATTCTATTGATACAGTAGTACCTCAAGAAATCAAAGGTCTAATTAAAAACAGGTGCTTACAATATCTTAAATATCTTTGTCACCTTGACCTGACAGGTGAAAGATTATCAACAAATCCTCAAACCTCGTTTTCGATACATTTGTATCCACACTAATACTTTGATAAACCTTGTTTTCGACATATTTGCCTTCACACTCATACTTTCTCAAACCAAGTTTTCAATACCTACAGTTGACTGCCTATACTAACCTAAAATCTTACAATTCTCAACCAATTTATAGAGAACAGACCGGAGCGTCCCATGTGGCGCAAGTGAATAAACACACTGACAAATACATAACCATTATTCCGGCTCATGACCCTGTTCTTTTTGTCTGAAATTCTCTGAGGTGTGTTCAGACAAATGGCATACAAAGTGAAGCAATTATGACCCAAACGATGGTGTTGTATACAATTATAGTGTAGGAGTAGGTGTGATCCACCGGGAAGTCCTTTGCAGGCGGTAGGGGAGGAGTCATTTACTTTCAAATTTTTAGATGCTACATCAATGCGACCGTGTTGCAGCACAATCCAACGCACATATGATGTACCACCACTCATGTTTATACATGTTCAGCAAGAAGAAGATACGAGCAAATATATAGTAGCAAACACAGCATATCAGTAGTTATTGCAGCAATAAGAAACGCTTCGCGAAGAAGTGAAAGTGCCCAGCAGAGTGGCTGCATGCGTCATGAATATGGTCGAAGACTATATATAGGCAGCAACATTACGACTTGGCAGCCACAAAAGAATCAAACAGCGCAGAAGTAGTCATGAACGAAGTAATGACTCGAACAACTCCATAATACATGCAAAACTATGCTCATCGAATCCTCTGAGCATGTTGCATATCTATGTATATCCTGAGCATGGCATACATACCACTACATTACCCAATCAATTTTAGGCGTGAAATATGCAGTACATCAGCAACAAATATACGGATGCAGTTATAGAATAAGCTCGAGTGTTGGCTAATATACAACAAGATATCCGAATATATGTGAAAATATTGCATCGACGAATAGTTTCTCAGAAAGCCTTTGTTACTCCTTGCACACACCATCTAGCAGCAGCTGAGATGAAGACTATTCTGGGAACCCAGGTGATTACCATTCCCGAGGGAGTGACCTGCAACGTCAAGTCGCGTGTGGCCACTGTCAACGGACCCCGTGGAAAGCTCGTCAAGAACTTCAACGTATGTACCGTGTTCGTGTAGTTGGTTTCGGATGCAGTTGTGTCTCGAAGTTATGTTACGGTGTACAGCATACGAAGCAAATGCGATCGGATTTCCCTGTGTTCGTCAACGTGTTGGAAACAGTTTGTGTTGCAGGCCATACGCAGTAGTATGACAACATCGCCGCAATACGGCATTGTTCTGGGCTGTGGTGTTTGTGTAGTTTACGCGCAGCATTCCGAGCTATTGGATCTGCATACATTAGCCCACAAATATATGCTCGAATTGTTTTTTGAACTTTATTGGATTAAGTGTGGAAGCAGTCAGAGAACTGTCAATAGGTGTGTTGAGAGAGTGCAGAATACTTTCACTCTCGACACGGGGATATTATTGATCGATCAGTCGTGCGTGTCTGACTGAAACCCATCTGTTGTGTGCCAATTTTTGGCCGGTTTATTATACCTATGGTTATACTGCTATACAGTGTGTTACATCGGTAGCCTTAAATGACATGGATTACGCAGTGCTAGAGAAATGGTTGACTATTGAGGGATTTGAAATGATGACCAACCGATTTATTATCTGGCTGAACCCATTGGTGCGTAATGCAGTACACAACCTCTGACAACCTGATCTCATCTCCTCGGTTAATGTATCACAAAATGCGTTGATTCTTATCGATGCTATAGTCGTATTCATATAAGTGAGCTGTTTATATATTAGATGTATATTCAAAGCTACTTCACTATCCAGAGTATAGCTTGCAATTAATCATGCATGTTATTGTGGGTGCACACAAATTATGCATATACAACTGCAGGTGTACACAAATCTAATAATTTATATATATATATGTCTATATCAACACGTGCTTTCGAACGCAGCACTTGAATCTTGATATCCGCAAGATCGCCTCAGATCAGATCCGTGTCGATGTCTGGTTTGCCGGCCGTAAAGACCTCGCCTGTGTGCGCACTGTCTGCTCTCACATTGAGAACATGATCACTGGTGTAACCAAGGGATTCAAGTACCACATGCGTTACGTATACGCCCATTTCCCCATCAACGTCAACATCGAGAACAGCCGTGACGTCGAGATCCGCAATTTCTTGGGAGAGAAGGTTGTGCGAAAGATCACATGCGGCGAAGGAGTTACTGCCAACTTCGAGGGCAAGGATGAAATCTCTGTTCAGGTGTGTACTGTCAGTCATGTTTGAATGTGTATATTCATGCCGTGGTTTTCGAAGTCTGGAAAAAGTTTAGTGTGAATTTATGTGCATTGAACCAATAGACGTGTAGAAATGTGATGAGCGCAGGTGTACTGCGGGTGTATCTGTTGTAGTTGTTGTATAGTGCTGAAAATTAAATCTGTGTGCAACAATAAGGATGTGAATTGATGATCAACAAATTTCACAGTTTGGCTGAACCCTTTGGTGTGTTATGAAGCATAACTACCTCTGACAACCTGATCGCATCGAATATTCGGATTTCGTATACTGCATAGTCATTGGATAAATAAATGTATGTCTCTGTATTGCCACAACATTCGCTTTGTACTGCATGTCGATACTTGCGCATAGATTGTTTGATGCATCATTGTATATATGATGTATTCGTTCTACTTTTCTTTTTGGTTTCTGTTTCTCTTTTTCGGAGGTATACTTATCGGGTCTATTAACCTTTATGCATACATAGGGTAACGATATCGAGATGGTGTCACAGGCCGCTGCCCAAATCCAGCAGTCGACCACTGTCAAGAGAAAGGATATTCGTAAATTCTTGGATGGTATTTACGTATCTAAGAAGGTGCACATCGAGGGTGATGAGTAAATTAAATCTTATGACTGCTTTCCGTTTGTTATGGCTCTGGTTGAATGTTTTCGATTACTATCGTAGTTAGTGGTATGTTCAGCCTACAAGGGCTATTACAGTTTAGTTGAAGGAATCTGTTGTCAACCTGCATATACACACGGAATCTTTGATATTGGTTTGCGAGTTTATGATTGTGCAAGTGTTCAGATATTTGTACAAATTCATCCGGCATGTTTATATTTGCGAGTATATGGTGCATGTGTTTAGATATATGTTTAAGCTCATCTGTCATGTTTGTATACGTCTGTTCACAAATATGTCCTTGTTGATGATTATAACAGCTGTTGCCTTCCTCCGGATTAATTATTCGAAAGTAATTATGCCGAGTAACACTGCTATGAAACAAGAGATGTATTTTACTTTGCTTTATGGTTGTTAGCTTTCAGATGTATTTCACTCTGCATTATGGTTGTTAGCTTTCCATCCATGGGAAAGAAGTAGTAGTCGACATACACTACACATTCAAGTATTGCCGAGAGAACTGCTAGGGTTCAACTCGCTAGTGGATGCTAGTCTCGTTTGTCATATCATTAATAAAATATTCAACTCTTTTAGGAAACTACTGTCTGGTTTGTAGTGATTGTTGTTTCTCATTGGTTTTGTGACAGGTTTATAGTCTTTATATGTAGTACGTATGTGTATGGGCCATGTAGTTCGTGGTTTATGCATTTGGAGAAAAGATTATTAGCATGCGGTTGCTTTCTGACTTTTAAAATACAAGTATGTTTTTAGTGCCGACTAAATTATGTCGAGTATGTGTGCGATTTACCATGTCCGCTAGTGTGTGCCTTTGTCGATGACTGTTGCCTTCCTCCGGATTAATTATTCGAAAGTAATTATGCCGAGTAAGACTGCTGAGACAAGAAGTGTGTATGTTTATTGCAAGATAAGTTCAATACAAGTTATGACTCGCCCGACGAGCAAAAGCATAGGAAGCCAAGAGGCGGCACACGCACTCGTACTGACCGACCTGGGAACATTGGGTCACAGACTGCGCTTTTAGTTTGACCGACCTGTTAGGGATTTATAATATAAATAAAACAATGAGTCAATTGATTTGCCATGGGCTTTATATACATACATATATATATATATATATAAGTGTATCTGGTCGCCTGCCGAGTCCCGAGGAAGTAAGGAGAGCAATCCAGGCGCTTATTTGCAGAGTACAGTTTTTCTTTGTGAGTGTCGCGTGCGTTGTCGGCGCAGTATTAGTACGCAATCTGTGGTTGAGTTGTTTTTAGGGTTTATCTTGTTTTTTCTATGGCTATAGTAGCTGTTGCCTTCCTTCGGATTAATTACGGAAGTAATTATGCCGAGTACCACTGCTATGTAATAGTAGGTTAGTATTCCCATACTTGGGAGACAAGCCCCGTTTCAATGGCGAGAGCACACTGGTTGTGCCTTTGATACATTCTTTCATTCATGCACTATATTCTATACAACGATGCATGATCCACACCACGAAATTGCAGCAAGCAGTAGTATATATATATATATTGCAATTTGTAGTATATATAAATATATTGCAATGAACGAATAAACCAACTTATTCCATCAATTCCGGATAGCCATCTATAAGTTGCTCAAAAGGCCAATATTGGCTGTGGAGTGTCTTTGTATACATCCTTTGGACTTTAGAGGGCACACATATTCGGGGTTGTGATGTAGATATCCTGTCAGCGTGTCACGTCCCGAAGTTGTTATTTATTTTGTGGTTCTCTGATCTGTTAATAGCAGCTAGCTGGATGGCACAACAACAGGTCATTGTCTGCTCTTTTGACTGTGTCGCGACCAATTTCCATAAGAACGGGATATAATATTGAAATAGGAGACATAAAGGTCTGTAGTGTGGTATGTTTGTGCTTGATTTAGATTGTTTGATACGAAACAAGAAGCATGTTTATCACTTTTAAAATATTGCAAAAAGGACATCAGGTGACACCATGGGATATGACGTATACGTAACGGTCATCGTAGAACACTCGCAGTCCGTCGAAGTAATATCTAGGTACCGCTCTCTGATTAGACCAGTCACTTCGGTCGACGGCTAATACATATGACGACCACGTGTTAATGCCTCCCTGATCATAAACATGTACGCGGGGGGTGGGATCATGATACCGTGCTATCGTTAGTGCCTGTCAGCACCAGGCAGACCCATTGCAGTCTCAAGCGCTCTGGCATATTATAGAGGGCGCCGGTGGTGCTGGATCAGTTGTTTTTATTTGGCGCAGCAATGGAATGTGTACCAGAGTATATTCTGCCGGATCGTTCATAGCCCTTGTCTCATTTAGAAGGTTATGGCTAGTCTTAGTATTCACGGACAACTTGGACCAGTATAAGCACACTATCACGTTACCCAACGCTTCTTTTGGTTGCGACTTTATGAGATAGATTTATCAGAGTCTCCGACGAAGAAGCTCGAGGTTACGAGGCTTTATTAATTGGGCTACAGACCACACACAGGTCTATACATTGGTCTTATTGAAAATAGAAGGCTATGTTGTAAAGTTCGGTATTCCCCTCTGTGGGCTGTGGGTGAGTGTGTCCCAGCGGATCACGAACAATACTAATAGCATCAATACACAGGCATAAAGCACAGTAGAGTGTACTGACAGGCCTTGACTGGCCACTGCCTATAATGCTTAGTGGCTTGTATATCAACTAGGTGATGGATGCACCCAAGGAACGGGTAATAGTTTAGGTTGAGTTGTTGTCGCGTACGAACTCTACCTCAGCCTCATAGCATTGCGAAAAGGATGCAGCCGTACGAGAGTCGTCACTCGTCTTTGGAGATAGGTTTGCTGGGACACTACTGTTCCAAAAATAGATTATAGTGTAATAGCTTAGAAAAGGTGTATAACTATCCTACTTATCATTCCAGTGTGGGAAGTCAATGTAAGAATCAACATCTCCGTGCGCTCAGATTAGGAAACTTAACTTATCCTCCTCAGCCGTGGAATCAGAGTTTGCACAATATACCCGAATTGCTATGAGTGACAATTACTGCGTGTACATCTTTGTGTTCATGAATTGTAAATAATTGACTTGTATTCTATAGTCACATACTAACGGCCTTTATTCATGATCAGCCTATTCTAACCCGTCACTGTTTATCGTGTTGATTTTCAGTCCAAGACATTCAGGAACGCAATCTATCACAACAATAGATGATTGAATAGGTTAAAGGATGATGTTGATAGGATATTAAACCTGCTGTTGTTCTGGGATGAGGATATGTCATCGTTCATATATACATAACCCATGTAGAAATATCCATATGTACATATTACACACACACACACACACACACACACACACACACACACACACAC